AACCCACCCCCGGGGTGTTAAAAAAAAAAAAGAGACCCTTTTTGGGGGTTTTGAGGGCATTTGGGGGGGGACACACACACCCACCAGTAGAGGACCTCGTCGCCGCACTCGACGTCGAAGCGGAAGTGGGAGAAGGCGACGGGGCCGACGCCGGGCTCGCGGGCGACGAGGTACCAGGCCCGGTCGTCCAGCAGCTCCTCCCGCTTCTCCCGGTCCTTCCAGCCCCACTCGCTCTGCTCGTACCTGCCCGGGTTTTGGGGGGGAAAATGAGGATTTGGGGGGAAAAATCCTCACAGTGATTCGGGGGGCGAAAAAAAAAACACCCAAACCTCAGTGATTCTGGGGTTAAACCCTCAAAATCCCAATGACAGGGGGGGTAAACCCCCAAAACCTCAGTGATTCTGGAGGGTAAACCCCCAAACCCCCAATGATTTAGGGGGACAAAAAAATCCCCCATGGAACCAGTTTGGGAGGTAAAAAACCCAAACCCCAACAATTTTGGGGCCCCAGAATCCCCCCAACAATTCTGGGGGATGAAAAAGCCACCACTATGGAGTTTTTTTTTTTGGGGGGGGAGGGTTGTAGGGGAAAGCTCTATGATTTGGGGGTGCAAAAACCCAACCCCCCCCCAACAACTTTGGGCAGCAAAACCCCCCAGTTTGGGGGGGCAAAAAAACCCCAAACCCCGACAGTTTTTTTGGGGAATAAAACTCCAAACCCCAACAGGTTTTTCTGGGGAGGAACCAACCCCCCCAGCGATTTGGGGTGCCCTAGAATTCCCCTAACAATTTGGGGGGCAACACCCAAACACCAACAGTTTGGGGGGGTTCAAACCCCCCCCTCCCCATTTGGGTGGGGATCAAAAAAAAGCAAGCGCCATGATTTTGAGGCGCAAAAAAAAATCCACCCCAATGATTTTGGGGGATCAAAAAACCCCACCCCCCTACCATGATTTTGGGCAGCAAAACCCCCCACGGTTCGGGAGAGCTAAAAACCAACCCAAAACCCTGAGGTTTTTGGGGAAACCCCTCAGTTTTGAGGCTTTTGGGGTGACTCACAGCGCCTGCATGTTGGCCTTGGTGAGGCCGAAGGCCCACTCGAGGGTGGCGGGTTCCAGCCCGGCGACGCGTTTGCACTCGATGGCGACGTTCAAGCTGCGGGCAGAGAAGCGGCGTCGGCACCGGGGACGCGCCGGCGGCACCGGGAAGGGCCTCGGGGACGCCGCGACGGGCGACACTCACCCGTTCCGGTCGTACTTCTTGAAAACTGGGAAAGCTTCGAGGGGATCTTCGAGCTGGAAGAAACCAAACAGCACCCCAAAAAGAAAAAAACCACAACAAGCAGCGGGGAAGTTTCACTCCCACCCCACCTGCTCGGCGGCAGGGGAGGTTTTTCACCGATTCTGGGGGGTTTCGCCCCATTTTTCACCCCACCAGCGAGGGGGACACTCACTTTGTTGGCCGCTTCCACCTTGGCGCAGACGGCGTCCATGGCCGCTCGCTCCTCCAGGCGCTTCTGCTTCTTCTCCTTGGCTTTGCTCGACTTTCTCTGGGGCGAAAAACAGCGAAAAAAAGGTAATTTTCTCTAAGTCGGAGTTGTTTTATCCAATACCGAAGCTCTGCCCACCACCACCAAAAAAAGTTTTGCCTGGGAATCAGGAATCATTAAGCCCCACAGTGGGGAAAAAAGTAAGTTGCAGGTGAGGAGCGGAGTTTGCCCCCCAAATCCTTGCCAAAAAAGTCATTTTGGGGTAAAAAGCAGTGTTTTGGTGAGCGCATGGCGAGGGGTGTTGAGCTCCCCGGGGTCGTTACTGCTTGGATAATTCAATTAGTGGGGTTTTGCTTCAAAAATCTTTGGGGTTTTAACGAAGCCGGCGCTTGTTAGCAGCGAGGTGGCACCGAGCGGCGTCTGCGTCAAGTTACCGCTTTGAAGCGTTTCTTTCGCTTGAATTTTAGGAGCTCGCTGCCAAAAATCACCCAGACGTGGGTGATTTTACTCCAAAAAAGGAAGGGGGGGAGCCCCACAATCCGGTTGGGATCCCTCCAAATCCCCAGCGAACCCCGAAGACCCGCAAGGTCTGGGGATTCCTGAGCTTCAGCAAAGTTAAGTTAAACACGCACAAAAAAATCAGCGTTTTACAGGAAAAACACTGATGCACGTGGTTTGGGGAGCAGGACAGGGTGAGCCGCCTCCCCTCCCCCACCAAAATACACCTGT